GCATGTTGCGCTGGCTGAAGGGTTAATACAGGGCTCGTAAGGTGTTTGTTGTCGTTGGCAGGACAATGGGCACAACGTGTGGCCTCTTGGAGAGAGCGTTTTACAAAATGGGGCAAATCATGCCATCAACATATTCAGCGTAGTCGATATGCACCAGGGAACAGGGGCCTTCGGGTTGATGTTGGTTAGAAAACGGAAGGCGTGGGGGGTTCTTTGCCGCTTCTTGGCATTTCGAATAGTATCTGACGTAGTTAGAGCTATCGCGATCCAGTAGACGTATGCATAAGCATAGATTTCATCCTGTTGATTCCAGGATCCCACGAATGAATATGATTTAGGACCGAAAGGCGTAAGGCGCTCGGAAACAACACGTGTTCCCCTAACATGAGGCAGTCGCAAACAATGGACAGAAAATTCCGAAGATGGAAAAGAGGTTCTATCAGGAGAGTGAATTTCCGGCGTAAATTACCATGTGTAATCGACGCACGGCAAACGTCCGTGCAGTTGACTGTTCCTCAATTTGGCCATAGTGTTGTTGCGCTAGGGTTTTCCTTGACAGCCTGAGCAGATATTCTCTAAACATACTAAAGAGCCTCTGCTGCAGTGGGTATCTGTAAGCGTACAGCTGTTCTTGGAGGCTATGACTATATGTCAGTAATTTTATAATTGAAATGGGTTAGATTTTCCAGGACCAGAAGAATTTCGTTCAGGTTGATTGTGGACGGTCAAAGTTTAAAAATAAACTAAATTAGCCGGCTCGTCTAAGGGAATACGCAATGATATGCACTTAGTGTTCAAAATGTTCATGAACAATGACTCCATCGGTAAAGGGTTGTAATGCATTGTCCTATGCAGTGCACGATGCTCTTCCGCTCACTGTTCTTNCCGATCACTGTTCTTTCGCGAGAAGGAATGCCCAAGCGATCTTGCTCATAGAGTAAAATATGCGAAGTATGTTCTTTATTATTTGAGAACCATGCGGCCTTACTCAGTTTATGTTTTACGTGAAACACATCGACTTATATTAAAATGGGTAGTAGTTGGTAGGCTGATGAATACTTAATACGTCATAGCAATAACGCCTGTGCAAATCCTGACGTCCCTTGTTTCGCTTCAATTTGAGACGCGGGACTGAAAGAATTGATACGCAGCGAAATTTGGTGTTGGGACAACAACACGGTATGTTTGGTCATTAGTAATTTTGCCGACTACCAATGGCCTATGAATTTTTCGATGTCAGCATGAGCATTCGGAAAGGCGACTTACATGGAACAAACTCCATTGTGGCTGTGAAAGGCAGTTTCTTCGCTAATTTACACGGATCTCTCCAGCATTTGTTGATCGAAAACTTTGTAACAACGCGAATGTAATCATCTGGAACGGAAGGTAATGCAAAATTTATAGGCATCAACTTGCGCCTTACTCCGCCTAAGCACCGGAAAATTCATCGCCGTAGAAACTGAAAGAACACGGAGTTATGCTGCATTTTATAGGCTGGGTGAGGATGGCCGCATTGCACGACGGTTTGCAACTGACAAACGGGTGACCGGAAGGCACGGTAATCGGAACTTTTTAATCGTGGATAACGTTACCTGAGATTCGGGGGTTTTCCACCGTTATTCGCCGACTGCGTCTGGGCGTTCTTGTTCCACGAACATAGGCCATATGAACAAATGAGATACAGGTTATGTTAAGTTTACTCTGAGAAAACATAGAACGATTTCGTTTGCTCGAGCAACAAAGGCGTTATTTCAGTGGACTAATTAATAATCAACTTTTCCACAACAAAAAAGTAACTCAGAAAACCATTCCAATAATCTCGCTCAGCTCGTCAATCATATCAACTACAGGGGACAAATGAAGGGAATAAAATGAGATGTGCAAAATCAGTAAAACCCAGGAACGGATGAACACGCCTGAATGCATATGCATGTTCCCAACTGGGAGATTTGATTGGAGTGCCCGAATCCACAAATGATGATCCGGTGCATTTGCGAGACTAACTTCAATTTTGCAGCCGTTGTTTGAACGCGATTAAGATATCAGTTTCAATGCGCCCAAAATGTGAATGTACAATTGCCATGAGAACCGAATCTTGACACAAGGAGCACGAAGTGAAACCGCAGTCTACATTCGTCCAACAGTAAAAGACTCCGAGCGAACGTTTCTGTGTGTTATGTGCGCTTCATTCAAGGGAAGTTGTCCTAATCCCCTTACCTCATTCATAATCAGACACTCGCCAACGCTCTGTCGAAATCGTCCTAAGAGCCCAAAGTGAATTAATCACCTACCGTTACAGAACCTGCGGTTGTTGATATCTGCATCTATCGACCATTGTTATGGCCCCATGCACGAAAAGAGAAATATTAGCGACGAAATTATTGGTGGATAGGACTTCATAAATGAGGACAACCGGAAAAACGGACATCCGCAGGCATTTATACGAGACCTTAAGAACGCGAGAAAAAACATGGAATCCCAATTGCTCACAACTTTCTGACGCGGAATTTTGCATTTAGATGTCGAAAGTGGTCACATTGCAGCCAGATTTCAGCTGACACACCATACGTAACTAACTTGCCGCAGGGAATTCCAAACAAGTTCAACCGCCATAGACAGTCCACCTAAACGTCCTATGAAGCATGCGATTCATCCGCCCACAGGCATTTTCGATAGAGTACGATCTGCCGGTGTTTCCAGCTTTATGCAGCAGCTGCTAGAAGAATTGTAAACATGCATTCTAGACCCGGCTCCACCGGTTGACAAGATCATTCCGGCAACTGCAATGCATTACTCACATTCAGGGAAGCCACCAATAACTGTTTAAATGTATGAAGCTTTGCAGATTGAAATAGAGAAGTCAGCGTTCCACACAGCCTGTAGTGATTCACAATGATGGCTCGCCGAAGTGAACACGCTATTCATATCACCCCACCTGTATTCTCCTGGCCTGCTCATTAGGTAGATCAGAAAGATGTAACGACTTAGACTGCACGCATGTGAAGGACGGTGATAATGCAGAACTGGAGCGGCGCAAAACATTCTACAGTCTAGACGGTCGCAAGTGCAATGTAAGATTCAACCAGGGTCCCAGTGACCTTAGTCTGACCAGCAGAAACACGATATACTCCCCAACCGATGGTTGATGCAATCGTCATCATTCGGTCACACCCAGTTCACTTCGGCTGTCAAAACCAGTATTAATTTACCTGCCGGTTGTTGGTTGGATGGA